ATGTTATGAGGATATGATAGCACACGAACAGTGCACAGAAGAATGATTGATGCATCCTGGGAATGCTAAAAATGTGAAGTACTACATTGCGTGAAGATGCTATGTCTGAGTTTTTTTTATCGTAACACCAATCTTCTAGTGCGATCATCTGAAATCTTGAAAGAAAACAAAAGATCCTTTGGGCTAACGTCATCATTTGACAGGTGAGGATGCTGAGAGAGGTCAGTCACATGTCCAAAGTCACACACGAGGTCACAGTGGCAAGGCGGCACTAGAATTTGAGGTCTCCGAGCCCAATCCACTATTCTTGGGGTACACACCGAGTGCTGATGGGAAAGCCAGGGTATTATCAGCCTTTTCCATGTTTCAGAAGTGAGTACTTCTCCCTCCTGGTGGGAGGGCAGTTCTCAGCAGGCCACCTGCATCTAGATCTCTAAAGTGGCCTAGGAATTTCCATCTCCTTTGTAGCCCTGGTGTTTTAGATCACCCCTCTGCAGGCCACGGAGAGGGAGAGACGCTTGAGAGTGCCTGAAGCAAGCATTTTCTTCCTGATTCATCTCAGCGATGACACAGATCATTTCATAAAGGCTCCTGCCCTCTTTCAGGTCCTGCGACATGGCCCTAACCCCTACTCTGCATGCCCCGATGGGCAGACATGGCGACACACATGACCTTGTGGACACTTGTGCTCATGCTAAGAATGACCACTTTTTACACACGGACACCTCAAAGTGGAGAGCAACATTTGGGGGTTAAATGGAATATAAGGGTGTAAAAACAATCCTTTAAGATTAGAAGTTTGATCTGATGATAATCAATTCTGAGAACTGGTCATATTTTATAGTCATGGCTACCCTCCATTGCAGCCCCAAACAGAGGCTTTTATAAATGCTTCTGTGAGAGACCCTAAAAGGTTTAAGCTCATTACAGAAAATCAGAGAGCCACATTTTTCATAAAGGGAGCCGCAGTCTACAATGGACAGACTACAGTCTGGGAGTCAGAGAGAAACATGTTGGCGTCCTCCTCTGCCCACAGCTATATTTGTGTGACCTTGGGCAAAGCAGTGCCTTCTGCCTCCTTATCTGAAACACTGGGGAGATCATCAGTGAGAGCGAGAGAAGAGCTTTCTTCTTGAAGGCGGACGCGTGAACTGCATCATGCTCCCCCTCTGCCCCCCAGAATCACACGCTGAACTCCTAACACCCAGTGCGAGGCCCTATGGAAGTAATTAAGGCTAAATGAGGTCACAAGGGTAGGGCCCTGATCTGAGGGGAAGAGAGATGAGAGAACCAGCTGCCCCTCTGCCATGTGAGCACACAGCAAGAGGACACCTGTCTGCAAGCCAGGAAGCACGCTCTCGTCAGAAACCAACTCGGCTGGACCTTGATCCGGGACTTCCAGCCTCTAGAACTGTGAGAAGTAGATTTCTGGTGTTTAATCCACCCAGTCTGTGGCATTTTGTATAAGCAGCCTGAGCTGACTAAAGCAGTGGAATTAGCACCGTCCCTGTGTTTCCCGAGATAACCGACTGTCAGGGTCATATACTCAGTGCTGTGACTTCCCACTAACACGATGACCCCAGAGTGAAAGCTGTTTTATTCTTTGTTCTTTGGACTATGCACAGAGATGGGAAAAGGAAAGCTGATACTGGGAAGATATCCAGACACAAACTTCAGAGAGAGCAACCTTATAAATCTGTGTTAAACATGAGTGTGTGGTTGCGTGTGCGTCTGTATACATACACGGGCTGGTCACACTCTGTGGTTAAGAGCAGGGTTTGAATCGTGGCCTTGCTACTAACTAGCTGTGGGTCTATAGACAACTGACTGAACCTCTCTGAGCTTCAGCTTCTTCATTGCTAAGATGAGAACAATAATTGTATCTCACAGTATAGCAGTGAGGATTAAATGAGAATTCTGTGAACAGAGACGGTGGTAGGGCTTCATAAGAGTTCATTTTACCATTTTACACACACACACACACACACACACACACACACACACACACACTGAAAGGGTTCTTACCAAAATTTGAAAAATAAAAAAGGGGAAAAAAGGCACAGCATTTCTATGTCCTCTGCACTCACTTCACATAGCGCATACAATTTCCCTATCCTACCTGACCTTCCTAAAAATTAAACTCTGTGGTTAATCTCTAAAATCTCATGATTACCTTCAAAATTATTGGCCACTTGCGCCTGGAAGAGACTAGAGGAAAAAATGGGGATGTGTAACAAGAGATAAGGGGCTGCAAAAAACAGGGAATTACAGAGGAGGCTGAGATTAGAGAGATAAGAAATGCTAGATATAATCAATTTATAACTACACAGAGGGAAAAAGAGTTCAATGCAAATTGTCTATCATTTTCAAACTACTACTGCTATTACTTGGGAGAAAATATTTTCCTCAGATCATGGCTGATTCAAATATAACTGACTTTTTGTTTTCCCATTTATGTACTTCAGGACATATATCAGATTCCAAGAAAAAGTAATTGTGACAAAAGTCTACAGAGATACTTTGTTAAAATAATCAAAACTTTTCCTCCTCTCTCATATGTAAATTCAGTTCGACCTGTTTTTCTATTTAGGATTCATCTTTGCAAGGTTCACTCTGACCCAAGGTGTTGAATTTTCTCTCAATAGAAATTCAGCTCCTGTCATAGATGTAACAGTGGGATCACTTCACCATGGGGAAGGGCAAATAGGTCTAACAGTGGGCACAGTAAGACATATTCAAATAATTTGCTCTGCGCTAAGAGTGGGAACATTCAGAATGGCCTTTTCCTCTTATTTTCATCAATCTTAGAAGGATCTCCAATCTGGGTTATTTTTCTTCTACACGGTCATCAACGCAGAAGACTGATTTTGTTTACAAAGAGCTTTTGATGGCCAGTAAATCTGATATGCTTTCTTTGTAAGAACTTAAAGATCTTATTTATAACCACTAAATTATCTGTTGTCAGTTCCTGTCAATTTTACAAGTGATTTGAGTTTGATGTAAAATTTAGAACCTATCAGTTTGAACAACTGTATACCAGTTGTGATTGAATAAGGCACCAAGTAGTATAATATGTGACAGAATCTTTTAAGTGGTATTAGATGAAGAAAAAGAAAAATTGCCCAAATAATATTAATGGACTCAGCCACTGACAATAATTCTTGGGAATGACTTTTTTGCCTGAAAACAGATCTAATTTCACTATTGATATGAAAATCTGAGAAAAATCCATGGAGAGTGTGTGATCAGAGAGACTGGGGAATAATTTACTCTTTTGTTTTCTTTTATAAAAGGACTGATTTACAAAATATACTTTTGATACCTTAAAATAATATTAAACAAAACAGTTAACTGAAAAACAGCAGCAAAATCCATTTATTCAGAACCTTGGGCATGTCACTGCCTGAGTGGCTAATAATGTAACATTTCATCTGGTTCACTGACTTAAAAAATTTTTTTTGGTATGTTTTCTCTCTCTTTCTCTATATATTTCTCTAAGTATAATTTCAAAAATTAGGAATTATCCACCTGTGGAAGGTCCAAATTCATTTAAGAAGGCTATGCAAGGTTGTTTTAATTATTTTATAAATGAAATAATAAAACCACTTTTGCTAGTTAATTATTCCAGCTTTGGATCTGGCCAGCACTAATACTTAATTTTCCTACGTAAATATAGGCTAACTGATCAGTATTCATCATTAATAGTTCACAAATATTACCATTTAGTAGATAGAGGTCTTACAAAAATATTTTAAGTAGAAGTAAGCAGGAAGTAAGTTTAGGTGATTAATGGAAATGTGAACTCTCGTAGATATTTCTGTGTATTGTTCATTTTTATTACTTCCATGTGTGAAGTCCCAGCCATATTCTCTGAAGCAGAGGCATGATTTAAGGACCCAGGGATAAACCTGAACATAGAATCATTAAATAAAATACTACTCATGTAGACAATGTTCTGTTAGTAAGCCTTAATATCCAGATGCTTAATATTTAAAATTTAAAAAGTATTCTTGTTGAAAAGAATGTTTTCCTCCATCTTACAAGATGGTGCCTTCTAAGACAGGACGCCCACAAGCAGGTTCTGCTGACAGGAGATTGTCCAAAGCAGGAGAAAAACGACACAAACTGTAGACTCTGAGCCAACAAATATGGACAAAATCTGGACATCACCGACTACAAAAAGTTGCAAATACTTCCCAACTCCCCCTTCTTTAAAGAATATAACGGGCTGAAAAAATACAGCTCATAAGCTATTCTTTTTCTCCTCTAGAATTCTACCAATTACCTTTAGTGTAAAAATAATTTATCAGTCTGCAAATCATGATAATAGCAAATTCTTATCTACCTGTGAATTGATGGATAACTCTTATTTATCTCCATTTTCCTTTGTGTAAAGCCATGCCTATTTCTCTACACGAATCAGCTTTTAGCAAAAGAATGGAAGGAGAATAAAATACTCTGAGTCGAACCAGCAGCTGATTCACAGAGTGAAAGCTTTCTGACTTCAAAATGAACAATAGTAATGCCCTAAAAAAGTTGCCCTAACTGTTTTTATTTATTAAAAGAAGCTCACTGTAGAGAAAAAGTACACTTGATTTATGGTTTTCCTCTGTGGAGCTACAGAACTTTAATCCATAGCTCATGAAAGGGTGTAAGAGCAGCTTGAAAATTATGCTGAGCTTAATTATACTTAATGTGAATTATTCAGAAGTGCAGACAGAGACTAAAAATTTATTTCATACAAAGAAGCTTGACATTTTAATTGGTCCTTCAGAATAGAGACAAAACAATTTCCTCTCAAGAAAATTTACATCTTCCCCAACAGACCTGCAGCTTCAGCCAAACAGAACTTCATTAACAAGATTAATTATCACGCCAGTGTCTGCTTCATCAGGTGTATGGCCCAGGTGAAAAAAAAAGGAATGCAAAATAATGACTGACATTTCTAGCAGATAGAATTGATTCAAGGAGAGAAAGGTTGACAAATTGAGCCACCATACCTTGGTCATTAGCCATTTTGTCAGGGTGTTCTACTGTGGGGGAGAAAGAAATATTATTAGACACTTCTTAGCAAGGAAGCTGACTCTTCAAATCGACAGTTTTGTTAGCAAGTGTTCATATCAAGGCCAAAGCCCTGTTGAAATAGAATTGATAAGGAACCAAGGTTGATGTGATTATTTCTCTTAAATAGTAGTCAGAGGAGAAAAACTGAAAATGGTTTTTGCTATATATGTTCTTAAAAATATGTTATTTGTTTCATTCCTCTACACATCAACTCAAAATGATCATCATGTAAGTTTAATTAAAAATACAATACATAAAAACTCATATGATCACCAAGTAATTATCAACCATATATTTTAAATAAGGTAAAGAGACTATTTTCTTGTCTTTAATTTTTTTTTCAACCAGAGAACTTAAACAATCTCACATGGAGAGGGTAAAATAAGAGAATATCATAAATGTGTTTTAATCTAAATGGTTTAATAAATTTTTAGACCTTATGAAGAGAATTCTTACCTGTTCACAACTTCAAGTGCAGTATGAATAATGTTCTTGAAAATGACTTTTTTTCATTTAAAAAACATCTTTAAAAGTTTTTAAGTGGCTTCTTTTCTATTAAACAAATATAACTGTAGAGGAGGTAAATCCACAATATCATTGCTTTTACAGAAATTGTGAGAGGACATTTTGACCAATGTAGATCTTTGTCAGTTTCCATCAATTAGAATTATTTCCCCTATACTTGAGTTCCTTTGGGCTTCAAATCTTCTGGGTTTATTGAACTCAATTGCACTAAAACTTGACATTTAGGCTACTACACTTGCTGTTGGCTTCTTTACATGTCTCAGTTAAACTCACAGAGAAAAATACGATAGTGTTCCCACGGGCAGCCACCTATAACCTAAGCACCCTGGTTCTCTCATTCAGGGTGGCAGTCTCCCAGCAAACCCATCATCACTGTTTGAGAGATAAAGCAAAGGTCTTAGAAGTGGTAGTCCTTCCTTTACTAATTGATGGACACATATCATTGCCCAGAAGAATATGTAGACTGGAAATACTCAAAAAATGATGTTGTTAATAAAAACCCCTTTCAGATGAACAGGGTTTATGAATGTCACCTCATAGAGAGAAAAATTCTAACCTTAGTTACAAATTTCTATCACTTACAATTTCTTTCATTTTAAAATAATACGTAAACATATTCTATGAAAAAGGATAGACCAAGAAAGGTTATCTTAGTAAGTAGTAGACTTTGAACGCTGAATGACTCTTTGGGAAACAGCATACATACAAGAGTGCTTATTATATTAAGATTCTACCAGTTTTATATAAGTTTTATGAATGTCATTGTAGCTCCTCAAGATTTAACAAACTTTTAAAAATTTATTTATTTATTTTTTAAGGTTTTATTTATTTATTTGACACAGAGAGAGAGAGAGAGAGAGAGAGAGACAGCAAGAGAGGGAACACAAGCAGGAGTGGGAGAGGGAGAAGCAGGCTTTCGGCAGAGCAGGGAGCCCGATGTGGGGCTCGATCCCAGGATCCTGGGATCATGACCCAAGCTGAAGGCAGATGCTTAATGACTGAGCCACCCAGGCGCCCCATAACAAACTTTTTTCTTTTTTAATTCACCAGGCAGTCCAACCTAATCTTTCCTAGTCTAATCATCACAGCTTAATTTTTATCTTAATTTTGTTTCCTATTTCCCATTAAAGGCTAATGACTTCTCAAGATCCATTTTATTACAGTGTTAGGGGATTATTGATGAAAGGTGGTTTTGATAGGCAACTGCATCATCTGTAGTTTATAGACAGGGATAGGGTTTTCACTGAAATCCTAACATAGTTTTTGAGAAAGGATACTATGTTGTAGGATATGCCCAACCAGGTCTCTGGTAAGAATGAGGAGGATACTTTGGAATCACATGTGACCATGCAATCCAGGAAGGGTAAAAGTTTGGCAGCCAGAACAGGGCACACTTGAGAAACTACCCTAATCAGCATCTCATATTTAGGGGAGAAATGTTTGGAATGACATAAAAAAAAAAGAGAGAAGAAAATCATTCTCATCCCATTTTCATTCTTCCTTTCTCCCTTCATCTTTAATCATACACACACATTATCTACAGTCTAAGAAAATTTTTACCACGTGACAAATAAATATATGTTATGGGCAACAACAGCGTCCTCATTCTTACCTTCTGGATTTGTTTTACTGTTAGCAATCTGGACTGGATGTAACTTGAGGAATTTTGAATGTCTCAAAAAAGGTTATCAACTAAAGAGTATTTTCCAAAAGGGATAAAATATATCCTAAAAGTTACTGTTTATTAAAGATGAATAATGGCTTAAAAGTATCATAATTTGTATCTTAACTTTTTATTTGCTCCTGACATTTGTCAAGAAAATCATGTATTTTGTCAAAAATAATGTGAAGACTAAAACTTTTCTGTATTCTGGCATGGAACTTTCAGTTCTATATCCTTGGATGGGAAAGATGCGCATTTCAGAATAATGATTAAAGATGCCCAGAGAACATACTACAGTCTAGTGCTCTTTCATTGCTGAACACTCAGCTTTTTTGTATGTAGGAGGTGACTCCATCCCACTATAGAATTCCACTTTGGTCTCCTTCAGCAGAAGCATCCTTTCTTCCTATTATTTGACAGGCCAACATGGAGAAGCTCAGTTTACCCAACAGAACAACCCATATGAGAGGCAGAGATTGACATGCCTCTTGTACATCTTCCAAGGGTTTTACGGTGTATGGGTATCCTAATGGGGACTATTTGCAGAAGGGAGATGTGTATTTGCAGAGTCCTGTGTGGTCAGAGAATCAAGTTCAAGATTCTTTTAATTAACATTCCAAAGAAACAATCAGATGTACCACATACATGCATGTACACAAGGGTATTGTAATTTAATCCCTTTTTAATTATAAATGTCCTTTTCATTAACCAGTGATTATGGATTGAGTTTCCTATACCTCTCTTGCTGGTGGCTAAAACCAAAGACAAGACTCTAGTCTCTAGTAGTAAATGCTACTGTCTTTGCAAAGACTGCATATGAAAGAATGAAGCTTGTAGACACCTGCCTGGGGCATGATTGGCAATGAAACACTTGCCTGTTACCCAGTAGACTATTGAGAGCTTTCTCAGCTTCAGGATAACATGTGAGCCTTTCTTGCTGTCAAACAAAGTTACATTCTGATGAACAGAGGCCTTATGTTTTGAAGCAGCTTTGGAAACTGAAAATCTTAAATCAGAGAGCAGTAACATGATGTGATGTGTTTAATGTAGATTTGGTTCACTGTGGCTTTGAATCTCTTAAGAGTAATTTATTTGCCTTAGAATATTTGTCATTGTAACATGTAGGATGCATGCATGTACAATGTCAACTATTGATAAAGATGGGCAAGATCAATATCTCTAAATAACTTAGAATGCAATCAAGACATCTGAAACTTGGTTTGCCATATGAGCAAGATTTGTTTTAAAACCTAATTGACTATTAATTGAGCATGACATACTGAGGATAGACAATATTAAACGTTCAAATCAGGATATTAGAAATAATGCTTGTGAACTCTTACAACATAACAAGTTCCTGAATTTGTTCTCAGTTCTGAACATCATTTTATAGATGAGTTTAGAGCACTTAAGGTAAACAGTAGCAAATGAGATGTGGAGTTCATTGAATAATCTCCAGGATGGTTATCAGTGTGGGCCTGTAAATTCTGTGACAACTCATCACTCTGCTGCTTAATACATTTGGATGCCTTAAGTCATCCTAAACCCTCCCTGAGATCTCTAGTTGGCACACAATGTGAGCATGAAATTAATTTGGCACTTGCCTATAGATAAAGATGAAGCATTTGTGAAACAGTATCTAGTTACATTTCATGCTCCCACAAAATGAATAACCAGTTTCCTTTCGATTGCTCATTTAGAGTGAAACCTTATTTAGACATGAAGTCCGAAAAACCCAGAGAGAAGAAGATTAGCTCATTTCCTCCTGCCTCCCTCCCCAACTTCTACTCTGTTGCTAAGAACTGTCACGAAGGCTTAGGCTGAATGCTTGTTTGTGTGTTCTTGGCGAACTTTCAGATTAGTTGTTACCAAGTCCAGCCTGGAATGGCTAGCTCCCTCACCAGAACTCAAAAGTCCGCTATTTATTAGGGTACCTTTCCTAGGGGACTTGAATGACTGTACAATTATTCTAAGAGTCTTCTCTTAATATGTCAAGCACCTAGGTGAAAATGTCAACCATCCTCATGTTTCTAATTTTTCATTTGTTTGCCATCATGTATTACCAACTTCTCAGCCAGATATATAGATAGACATATGTGGTCACAGATTTAAGAGTCAAGTATCCTTCTTTAGAACAACACGCATCATGCCTAAATATACATCTTTAAATACCAGCTATGGAACATTCCATTTTTTTTCAATTGTTAAATAACAGAGGCTCTTGAACCCATTTGTCCTCCAGAAAAATAATACTGTTCTAAAATAGCAAGGACTAACATGAAGATTATTTTGATGCAGTCACTGTGCTAGGGCCTTAGCATTTTTTCTGTATGAACACGTAACTATGCTTGAATTGAGCCGTTATTTTTACTCTTGCAAGCATGGGGCGTTTTCTTCTAGTAATAATACTGTAAAGACACTTTTTTCCCCCCTTTGTTGCTATCCTAGGTCCTTAAAATAAACACGTTCATTTTGTTTGAGATTTTCTGTCTTGCCATATCAAATTTTCTTTTTATATGTAAGGACAATAGCTCCTCAAAGAAAACATTTAAGGCTGGCAGTAGTATGGAATTCACATAATTGAATGCTTTTTAATTTTTATTTCCTTACATAAAAAGTTTCATTATATTTTGAATAGAACCAATATAGTTGAAATCAATACAAAATTCCAAAAAGATTGTAAATGGGGAAAAAAGCAGTTAAGTTAAATATACCTGCCTTGTGTTGAAGGCAGAAAATGTGATAACACAATAGATCTTTCTCTGACATGCTGGCTTTCAGCATGAAAAGGCACATTTTAATTTATTCTGAATGTCCATTGTAGTCATGTTGCCAACAGAGAAGGCAAAGACAGTTCCTAATGCAGACTCCGTAAGTATGTTACAACAATCCCACAGGAAAAGAAAGGCACTGCTGTACTAGGAAATGATTCAAACCTTTCAGAGTCCTGAAGAGGATGGGATCAGAGAGGGGCCCCACTCCTTTTGCATTTCGTGCTTGAATTCGAAAGTAGTACATTGTGTCAAGGTTGAGATCCATGATTTGGTGAGTAAGCCGATCACCACTGATTGTTTCCATCACCCAGTCGTCAATGGGTATGTTCTTGTCCAAGGTATAAAACAAGATGTAAGCTGTAGAAAAAGATGAATGTGACTGGGTTTAGTGTACTGACCACAAACTATACTTCTGCTTCTAAACACTCATGTCTCCCAAGTATAATGTGCAATGAGTATTATACATTCACAGTCTATAAACTACAGTATTCATTTAAGCAAGTAATAATTTTTTTGATATTGCAAAGATTAGACAAATCATTGCCTCAGTGTACAGAAACTGAAAATGGAACAGACCATTCAAAATAAAAATATCTGCCATCTTTAAAAATACAAGGTTTCTGTGGTCTATAAATCCTGTGCATGGATTCCTGACGGACAGAAATACTGAGATAGCAAATGTGTTTTTAAGCTGCTAAATTTGTGGTGATACTGTTACACAGCAATAGATACCATAATAGGCTAATGGTGACCTTGGCAATCTGCACCCCAGATGATTTCTGTGTTCAAGTAAGGTCAGGAATCACCGCTTTAGTCGATATGTGGAATCTGTATATTTTTGGCATTCATTGAGATGCTGCTGCTGCAGCTATGAATGTCTTATAATGCACACCACTCAGTAAAAGACAAAAGATGAAGGTAAAGAATTCTGTAAAACTTAAATTGTAGGACTCTCTGGTTAATATTAAAATTGGAATACTACAGTTCAAAAGGGATTGTGAAATATCACTGAGCAAAGGAGTTGTTTCTGACTCATTTATAACTCAGCCCCCATGATCAATATCAATAAAATCTTCTAATATTTTTTTGAATCAGAATAGTCTCCATTCTTGTCCTCAAAGAACCACATCTACTGAATAGAAGACCCTAGTACTGGTAATACTTTTTTTTTTAACTTTTATTATGTGCATGTCTTATCTCTTCAAAAGGATAAAAACATTCCTTTAGTTCGAGAGCCATATCTTGTATTACCCTTTATTCTTCAGAGAAACCAATAAAATTGTCTTCACATAATAGGTATTGAAACTAACTTATTGAATGAAATCCTCTAGCCAGTAAGCACAGATGCTTTAAATTCATAACATTTAATGCAACCGTAGAGTTATCATGGGCTGTTGTAAATGCCTGATGACACTGAAAGTTTGGAGAATTGTTCTCACCCAGGTCAGCTACATTTATTTCTGATTTTGTTTATTTGTCAAACGGAAGAAAAATAACTGCCCTCCTTGTGTTTTCGTTTTTTTTTTCTTTGTAAAAAGTATTCAATTAACCATTTAAAAATGGTAGTTCTGACATCAAATAAGTATGATTGAAGGTACAAGCATCAGGTTCTGATAATTCCAAACTGTATTTGAAGTGATTTCCTGGTATTTATGGAGGAGTCGATCTTGTGTGTGTGTGTTTGTGTGTGTGTGTGTGTGTGTGTGCGTGTGTAAATTTGAGAACTGAGATGCAGAATAGAAATATACTACTACAACATTCAAAACATTAAAAATTGGCCTTAGGGAAAGCATACAATTTTATCTGGATATATGAGTTTGGTGTGTTTAGAGAATATTAAATCTGTTATTGCAGTCTTACTGTAGAGATTTCCATATCCACACAGGTTGGAACAAATTCATTGGTTTCTCAGAAACTTTCTGTACCTGTATGTCCATTTCCCCGTGTCCAAGTTTCTTTCTTCATTCTTTTCTCTTACTTTTTTCTTACTTCATTTTTGTCTCTTACCGTAACTAGCCAAATAATGAGAACTATCTCCTGTCATAGGTAATAAGACCTGGGATTGTTCACTCAAGTGGGCATTCCTGCATTAGAATTACATTTGTCTAAATATATATAAAATGTTAACACCATACAAATGTCATTTTTGACTACTTCTACAAAGAGGTTATTGTAACTGTAAAAAGAATGTGTCAGAAAGTGTTCAATTCCACCTCTCTCCTTTGTCTTTTTGCATACTTCTTCCCACAGATCACTGATTCCCTTCCATGGTTCAGCTGCTAAGTACCAGGAAGACCAAGATGATGCCTACCAGCAAGGAGCTCAGCCCAGTAAGAGCTCCTCATCTTTCAAAAATTGATTCTGATAATCATGTCTATAGATAAATACATAATGAAGGACCCATTTCTTCCTTCCTAAAAAACAACAACAACAACAAAACAGTGCTATGGTGAGCGCTGTGAATTGTGTAAGACTGATGAATCACAGACCTGCACCTCTGAAACAAATAATACATTATATGTTAAAAAAAAAAAGAAGATAGTAAGAAGGGAAAAATGAAGGGGGGAATCGGAGGGGGAGATGAACCATGAGAGACTATGGACTCTGAGAAACAAACTGAGTGTTCTAGAGGGGAGGTGGGTGGGGGGATGGGTTAGCCTGGTGATGGGTATTAAGGAGGGCACGTACTGAATGGAGCACTGGGTGTTATATGCAAACAACGAATCATGAAACAACATCAAAAACTAATGATGTAATGTATGGTGACTAACATAACATAATAAAATTTAAAAAAATTATTAAAAAATAACAGCCTATGGATTCAGGAATACCTGACCTCAACTCATAGGTCTTTCATTTCCTGGCTTTGCAACCTTGAGCACCTTGCTTAATCAAAGTATGCCTCCATTTTCTCATCTGAAAATAAGTTGCTCTGAGATAATGTATTTTAAGAAATTCACATATGTGGGTATTCCTATTATGTTATCTTCTATATAGTGACTACTTAGTAAATGCTACATTTATTTTTTCTGTTTTTCTTTCTTTTTCTCCTTCCTTCCTCCTTTTTTTTCTTAATATTAGTAATTAAGGAAGTATTATATTTGGAAGAGGTGGAATTTTTATTTCAAGTCAACAATAGATTTAATAGCAAGTCAATGATTATTCTACTCAACAAATATTTATTAATTACCTACTAAGTGTCAAGAATATTGATACTGAAGAGAAAGCTTTGAACAAAATCTGAAACCTGTTCTCATAGAATTTTCAGCCATGTATTAGGAGCATTTAGATTTTTCTCTACTGATTATATGGGAAGGGGACATAGAGGAAGAAGTCAAGATGGCTAAATATCCAACTTTTGCAACTGGATAAACATAAAAAATTTTTATATGATGGGAATAAGAATAGTTAGACACATATGATTGAGGTGAATGCCCAGCTTGGTCCACAATCCCAGGTGGTCTTACAACCTATTACAGAATATAATAGTGCATTATTTGGCTGGTTATGGTAGGGGTTAGACAAAAACAAAACAAAACTAAACAAAACACACACACACACACACAAACAAACAAAAAACAAAAAGAAAAGAAAAAAGAGAAAGAAGGGAGCATAAGACGGGTTGGGGAATAGAAGGAGATGCCAATAAGACAGGCAAGTGGAAATGTACAATCTGAGGTAGAATATGTGTATTTAGAATTCCTTGGATGGAAATACAGATTTCAGAGACATAAGTTTGTGTTCACTGAAGCCCTGGCTTTACTATACACACTTTTTCAGAGAAAGTAACAAAGGGACTAAAAAGATCTACTTAAGAAACAGGTGGAAGAAATGTTCGCTAACAAGACCAAGAAGCTGTAGCCTGAAATTGGGAAGAAAAGTGGGTAGATGATCTTAAAAAGTTCAAGAGAGAAGAGAATTTCAAGAAAGGGGAACTGGACTAGAGTATCACATGACACACAAAAAAAGATACCATAATCTTATCCATTGGAAAGTACTGATAAGGAAACAATCTCTGAAGACCTAACTCTTCTAACTATGTTGGTCTCTGATCATAAATAATGTTGGATGTTGCATTTATTTAGATCAACGTTTCAAAACCCTAGCTGTACATTAAAATCACTTGGGGAGCTTTTAAAATATAGTATGCTCAATCCTTCCTCAGATAAATTAAATCATAAATCAGTTAAGAATCACTGATTTGGACTAGTTGAATACTAATAAGCTGGAGCAAAACATAGTGTGATAGTGGAGTCTGAACATGAGTTTTAAATCCTAGCTCGTTACTTCTTGGTTATTTGACTTTGGGGAAGTATTTACCCTAGAAACCCCTCATCTCTTCATTTCAACATGGAATAACAGGAAGATAGGATCACTTAACAATACTAAAGTGCTTAGCAGGATGCCAAGCATATAATGAATGCTTAATTCATTCTGAACCATTCTCTCCTGAAAATGTCAGTCCAAATTCCTAAACTGACAGTTTATAATCAAGGAATTTAGGTATTGGCATTATCTAGATCTCCTTCATTTCCTCTTTTTTTTGTTTAATCTTTTTGAAGTATATATATTTACAAGTTGATGATCTGGGTTCTATGCAGAGTACATTAATAAAGCCTCACCCTAGAATGGATTTCAAATGGGAATAATAATAGTTCATTTGTTTTAGTTCTCACTGGACAACAGAGATTTTCCTCAGCACTTCATTATTACATTCTACAAAAAGAGGTTCTATTACTATCTTTATTTTATAAATGAGAAAGTGCACTTAGGAAAGTCAACTTACCTAGGCATCTCCCTCAGAAGCTTGGGTCCTTAACCACCCTGCTTTATGGCTGTGTACATGCAGGGATGTGGTTAAACAAAGAAATATAAAGGGAGGATGTGAGCACCTTCTTCTGCATAGGCACACACATGCTCTGACACACGGGGAAAGAACTCCTGTTTCCTTTGTACTTTAATGAGAAACTGAGTGTAGTAAATCTGGGCCCTCTGCTATATGGTATTTTGAATATTTTATCATCCTGTGTTCTGGAAGTAATTTGACTGAAAGAATCAAAATATATATGGAAAAGAAGTTGTCTTAAGGGTTCTTAATGTTTGCTCCCTGTTGACTTGGGTCAAAATATCTCAACTTGAAAATAATAATTGGGTTTTAATAAATGAACTAAGCTCTTAAAGGTAAAAAGTATTGCCTCCATACTTTTAATTTACCTTTGTGAGAGAAGGGATACTGAACATACAACTCTAAATAAAATATGTGGAGAAGGTTGCAATTTCGGCACACAGTATTTTACTACTTAGATTCATTTGCATTTCTTAACATGGGGCAGACTTCCATTTTTTCCCTAAAAAAAGCAAAACTAAACTTCTTCCAGAGTTGAAAACACATTCTATTGTTTACATTGACTACTTGATAAGATTTATTTAAATAAGAGATGAGAATTCAGGTAGTATATGGCTTATTTTATCCTTTACTAAAAAAATATATTTTTTCCATCAGAACTTGTTTTTATTTAGACAACTTCTACCGTGTTTTTCTCTTCTTAAACTTATTATCTATTGATTTACCATACGCTTATAAATTACTGTTTATAACATAATAAAAAAGTCATCATGTAAACAAATCAAAATCTACAAAAGTACTGAAATAGAACCAATGAAAATAAATCATAACATTGAGGGGAAAAAGAAAAAGAAAATTGGAATGAGCCAGCCTCAGTTTTAAAAAGCCTGGCAGAGTGAAAACTAAGCATATACGATTTTGGGAAGATTTAATATCCCTCTTCTTTTTCCATATTTGTCAGCTCAAATGAAATTTCTGTTTGCTATTGCACTCAGAACAATTTCCTAGAGAAAACAAGTCTTCAGCTTAAATTTAAATCACATTTGGAATTTTCACATTATCTTTTCATTTTGGAAAATTCAGAAAGTAACTCATACAAAGTAAGTGTGCCATCTGAACTATAATTTCCATGCTTATCTCTGTTATCACAGAATGACTGAATTACTTTGTTAATTTATAATAGTGCTATCTACTTCTTATATGCAAAAAAAGAAGAAAAAGGAGTGACTCTTACATGTGCCTAACCCAGTGGTTCAAGTTAATTAGACTATAATGTGCACATTTTTAGTTATACAATATTTTTCATAATAATTATATGCTATGGAGACATCTATTAAAAGCCTAAAGTGATCATTTAAATGCAAAATCTCTGATAGAACTCCATTATATTTTTCATACTAAATTAACATTACAGGCTTCTAATGGATGCTTTAATTAGGCATTGATGTTATCAGCAATATTTGGCAAAATAAAATCTGTCACTGTGAAATATTCATTAAGTTCAATTTCTGTCAGTCAATATTAAGTATTTTACGAACCTTATGATTTAAGTAAGAATCTAAAAGCTAAGTGAGAAACTAAAAACCCCCAGACAAACCTCCTTTGTATGTGCCACTCAAAAATACACGGTCATTAGGTGTCTTTTGTATTTTATAACTGCTAAACAACTGGCTTCGTTTTAGTCATTTATGCTTAGAGACATTCCATTAGAAGAGTGTCCTAATGCTCCACAAGTTGAAAAACAAAAGGTCTAAACTAATTGAAATACACATCCTTCAGAAAGCAACTCAAATGAAATGTGTATTTGTAGGCACCATTAGAAGAAATTCCATGGTTAGCAGGGGGCAAGAAGAGACAACCAGAAAGGGTCGGGAAGTCCACTGAGATGCTGGGACAGAAAACTAATACACAAAAGGCATGAGCCATGCACATGGGGTAAGCAATTGCAGGCCAAGCAGAGCAATGCTGGAAATCAAGCAGAGATGCTTACCAGTAATTTTCCCATTGGCTTCCAAGGGAGGCTGCCAACTCACAATGACAGCACGAGGCTTCCCTTCTCTTGTAATGACTGTCAAATCCTTGGGGGCAGAGGTCGGGGCTGAGAGATGAAACAGAGACAAGGCCTTGTCATTGGATGTGAAAGAAAGCAGACATTTATGGGACTTCTAATCATGATGTTGACACTCAGAATCCATCATGCAGTATATCATGCTGATCTTACCATTTACGATTTATTTCAAGTATTTTAATTAAACAAGCAACCAAACAAATATATAGAAATGAATGTTTTTCTGTGGAAGTTAAATGACTTCCAAAGGTGTAACTATAGAGAGGAGAACAGAATATGTATGAATACAGAGTAGAAAAGTATAATGGATATTTCCAAGCGAGTGCCACGCTAAACATGTAAGAATCATTATAAGAACAAAGAAATGTACACATACTTAGTGAGATTGATGGCTACATGTCTCCAAGAGACAGAGTCCTGTTAAAACTGTAGGATTTTAAAACAAAAATGTCACCTAATTCTATATTTTCTTAAATGCAAGAAGGAAAAAAAAAGAATGAATTTAAATGCAGGTTAAAAGATCTTGCTTAGGTAAACATATTAGGTATCTCTTAGCAAGAAGGCTAAGGAATATTTGAAAATAGAGGATGTATGGAATCTGTGAAGGTCTTAGTATCAGCCTGTCATGGAATGAGAAGGCATGAGACCATAGGGGTCTTAGAGCTAATTTTCCCACACGTTGTTGAAAGGGACCAGAATTTATCACCCCAAAATATGCCTCTTTGGCATAAGGATTATTTTAGGCCGAATATTTTTAAGAGACAGTAGACATAGGAAAAGCTCTGAAAACTTAGTAGATGTTACCTTTTATAAGAGAAATTTGTATTTATAAGAGTGTCTCCCTCTCTGTATCAGGAAGAGGAGGATGATAAAATCTCTACAAACTCTTATTAGGGAGAAGGCAGGAATTTAAATCTGTATAATAATGACACCCTTGTTTACTGTGATTTGCCTGAAAACTTCCCATTACTGGCTCCCTAACCCCCAAAGTATTCTTTTGTTTTTAGTTGGAGATTGTATTTAAGGTGATGGCTTGGGCCATTTCAGGGAGTTACTCAGTGTTCCTGGGTATCCTCCATGTATCCAGGAGGTATACATGTTCTTAAACTCCTGTTTGATTTTCTACTATTAATCTATCTTTTATTATAGCGGGGTCTCAGCCAAGGACCTAAAAGAATAAAGAGAAAGTTGTTTTTCCTCCTATATTGTGCTCAACAAAATTTTAAATATTTTAAATGTGGCAGTAAACTGGCCAAGCCAGTCCAGTATCTTCCAGGCTTCTTTAGATCTGATTTTCACTGTCTATGCTTTGAAATGCAGTGAGTTTTCCTTCGAGGCAAAGCATAATACTCCAAGTTGATTATTGACAGTCTCTTTTTGTTACCTTTAGTTTGACATACAAAATTTCAGAACATGTCTAAGTTCTATGGTTGGGTTCTGAAGGAATTTCCAGATCTCTGCATGATAATGCTTCTGTACTACAAGATAGGTACAACTTTGTCCTAATTCTGAATTCTTCACTCTTCCTATTCTCTTTGGCTCTTCTGTTGGCCCTATCATGCAGAATCTGAGCAACCCTATTTTCAAATGGAGGAGACACCAAACATTTCCATCTATCATAACATTTTATTTTTAATGCCCTGATTCTCAAAGCCACTAGTATTCCAGGTTAACCAAAGCTGCACCTAATCATAATATCCTGAGAAGGTACTTAATATATTTAAATTAAGGAAAAAAAAAAGGAAGGAAGATGAAGGAGGAACAGACATAGGTCTAGTGTAGTTGAATCCTGAGTAAGAAACTGTGTAGGTATATGGTTTTAATGAAATAAGAGCAAGGACATTCTTGCAGGAAAAGAAGATGTGTTATAGCAAAATACCAAAGAGACGATACTACCTTGAGAAGGGTTATTCTCATAAAGAGTTCATTCAAGATATTTCCTAAGCCATAGATAGGAAGGTAATATATCGTCACAAATTGACTTAGAGTGTTATACCAAGCATAATAAGGAATTGTCTGATTATGGGAGTAACTAAAAGATCTTCCTAACTAGTCAGGAATAATCTGCTTTTTAACTGGGCTAAAATTCAAATTGATGCTTATTTAGAAAATAGTCAAATGCTGATGATTAGTTTGCTTCACTGAATCTGTTATGGTATTCAAAAAATATAAAATGACTTCAACTTCACCTAGCAAAATAATATACTGAAGGAGTGGTTATTAAAAACAACAACAACAATCTAACAAGTGGTGTTTAGGTGGTGTACAAGTTTTTCTTCTTCCTCAAGCCCTGTGAATTTGGTGAACAGAGGTTCTAGTATTGGAATCAATAGCTCAAATGTTTAGGATTATCATATAAACTGCACACTATTTGGACAGGAATGTGGCCCTAACAACCTCAGGTATGCCTACTGAATCAAGCAGAATGGCTCTGGTCTGTTCCTTTCCAATCTCATGGGTTCTGCCTGGAGGTGACCTTTCAGAAATTCTTCACTGACTACCAATCCTCTTTGGATAAACAACAACTAATAAGAAGGGCGCCTGGGTGGTGCAGTTGGTTAAGCATCCAACTCTTGGTTTTGGCTCAGGTCATGATCTCGGGGTTGTGGGATCGAGCCCTGAGTTAGGGGGGGAGGTCTACGCTCAGTGAGGAGTCTGCTTGAGTTTCTCTCTCTCTCTCTCTCTCCCGCTGCCCCTCCCCCCTGCTCTCTCTCTCTCTCTCTTGTGCTCTCCCTCTCTCATAAATGAATGAATAAATAAATAAATAAATATTTGGGGGCTCCTGGGCAGCTCAGTTAAGCGTCTGCCTTCGGCTCAGGTCATGATCCCAGGGTCCTGGGATCGAGCCCCGAGTTGGGCTCCCTGCTCTGCGGGAAGCCTGCTTCTCCCTCTCCCTCTGCCCCTCCCCCACTGCTCCTGCTCTCCCTTGCTCGCTCTCTCTTGCTTGTTCTCTCTTTCTCTCTCAAATAAATAAAGTATTTTTTTTAAAGATTTTATTTATTTATCTGACAGAGAGAGACACAGCGAGAGAGGGAACACAAGCAGGGGGAGTGGGAGAGGGAGAAGCAGGCTTCCCCCTGAGCAGGGAACCCGATGAGGGGCTCGATCCCAGGACCCTGGGACCATGACCTGAGCCGAAGGCAGACGCTTAAAGACTGAGCCACCCAGGCGCCCCTAAATAAATAAAGTCTTAAAAATGTAAATAGATAACAAATAATAAATATCAGGCCCTGGTATTTACTGCACTTTCTTTTACAGCCTCATTTCCCCTTGTTGTCTGATGAATACTGTGCTCTAGTCACTCTGAACCATTCATAAGTTTCTCTAGAAGACATCTTTCTGATACTTGGCTTGTGTACTTTTGTACATGCTGCTCCTTTCCTTTGAAGTCCCTGGAATGGGTACCTGATGATCCACCCAGGCCATTGCTCAATTATTATTTCTTTTGTGAAACCTCCCTTTATTTCTCCAGACAGGATTTATCCTTGGATCTGTTTGTTCAGATCCCAACTTAGCCAAAACTCTATGGTTGTATTTCTTATGTTATTTCAGGATTTTGGTTTTTTTTGCATTATTTCAGGTGTCCTTCCAGTTTTTTCTATTTTACTTAACTAGAATAAAATTAAGGATTTATCACCTGGACAGAATGAGGTGTTTTATTTCAAGGATTTGCCAACCACTCTTACCTTTATCACAAGCAATTTCAGCACAAATGCATAACTATGCAGTCCCATACAGTCTTTATGTTACTGCAGAATTAGAAGCAAACCTAGAATTATTTCATTCACTTCATTTCCTTCTCACAGCTATAAAGTCTGCAGACACTTGTGAATTACTTCTTGCTTCTCATCATCACCCAGGGATCTCATCCACATGCTATTTACACTTTTGTCCAGATCATTATCTGTTTTGACAATCACCTTCCTATTAACCACTCTCTAGCAGTTAATATCTTTTTGTCAGCCATGGGTCTCACCGTTGGTGTCCCTACAAGGCTAGGTAGTTGATGAGAAATGAATAGGATATATTTATCAAGCCAGATGATAGGGTGTACTTTATTTTTATGAAAGGGAAAAATGAATGAATTTGCTTGCTTTAAGAGGAAATTACTGCTCCTTCTCTTTCGCTCAGGGAAGACCTAATGTCTTACTGGTTTATGTTCAGTTCCTTTCATCTCTTTTTAAATAAAAAGGAAGAGCAGGGCCCTTTTTCTCCCCATAGAACATAACCCATTCATCATGTCTTATTCTTCCTAAGAAGCTGTGAATATTGGCATCCAGGGCAGACTTTTAGGAGAAAGAGTTAATACGTGTAAACATGTAAAATAGAAGATAAAAAAAAAAAGGATGTTGAAATTAAATCAGACAAACTAGAAAACTTCTTATAGAAAGAAGTATCCACAAAAATATAAGAAATATTAACAGTGAACTGAGTTAAGGTAGTAGTTTGGAATAAATGAACTGCAATGCCATGGGACAAATTCTAATGGAAAAAGAAATTCAACTTACCCAGAGAGTTTTATTGGTATATATATTTTAAAATTTGGAAATGTGTGGTTTAGTTTACCCCTAAATAGAATACCATGAAACCAATCAAACAGCAGTTTAAACCCTGTATCCTTCAGACTTTGGATTTCTGTGAATGTAAAAGCCAAGTGCACTGCACGTCTGTTAAGGTTATAAATTCAACATTTATGATCCATAGTAAATGTGACTGGTAAAATTTACAGTGAATTACACTTTCCTGTGATTTGAACTATTTCAAATTGCATGAAGGTTTTTTCCATTGCGTTGTCTTATTTCTAAGGAGTGAACATAACCACCCAGAAACTTCTTCCCATACCCAGCTGAGGTTATTTATGGTAAACACCAGTGCAATTATGGTTGTAATGCATTGTATCTAATTTCTTTCCAAAAAAGTAATACCCACCATGACTGCTAATCAAAGACTCAAATGTTTTGGACAGAGTTCAGTGCATGGATTTCTGCCTTTACTTAAAGGTATTGAAAGAAAGAATTATATTCAGATCTCCGGAGTCAATGCCCAGATTAAAACCAGATCACTCAAACCTCTGGGGATTCATTTTCTTCTTTTCTAGAGTGGGGAGGATAATAAACTAGATATAAAAGTGCTTTGAACCACAGAGTATAAAATATTTTCTGCAGGATAAGGTATAACTTAGACATCATAATGCACATATGTTCCAACTTCCACAAAACCTGGGAAACACCATCAAAAATCGAAATTTGAAAGTAAGACTCTCTTCACATACCTGCTTCATATGTGGTGGCATGGGCAGTCATGCTCCACGTGCTTGACCTTCTGTTTTTTGTTACCATGACAGAGAACTCATACATCGTGTTGGGTTTGAGGCCTGTTGCTGTGTAACTCAAAGATGTTGTATCTTCTGACTGTACCAGTGGGGAATAAGCAAAGAGAAGATGAACTCTATCAACTTGCTAAGTCAAAGCATGTAAAGAGACGACCAAATAACAAACAGTTTATTTCCAAATATCATAAGACCTAGGACACAGCACTGGTTCTACTTCTTTTCTGTCAACCAGTTTACACTGGCTGATGGTAGCTCCAAAACACAATGGATCAAATCAGGTGCGATGTTCAGAGGGGCAGCTAGCTGATCAATTTTCCCAAGTGGGGTAATAACCACTGTCTCAGGACCAATTCTGCTTGCTTCCATCAATTCTATTTTTAAGCTAATCTGCAGTGACTTTAACTTTCATTTGTTTGTAATAATCAAAATCTTTTTTTCAGTAGTTTTAATTTATACATTTTAAATAAATCATCATGATTATTTTCCACTAGTAATAAAATTAATTTTTAGAGATCTGCTACTTATGATTTTTTAATATTATTTATAGCACAAACTTTCAGTGATTCCAGAATCTGTTGGGCTATTATAAAGAAAATAAACAAAAGCAATGTTGTATTGTGTGGTCTTCTTTTTATGCAAAGTTCACATGAAACACACATATAAGTATGGTCACTGGAGCAATTGATTAGGAAGGGAACAACAAATTGGATATGTATTAAAAGATTATAATTGTGTTAGTATTACTTATCTTTTGAATTCATTTGTCTTTTGAATAGCAGGTTAAAGATATTTGAGCAAAAAATAAAGTATCTATTTTTATTGTTTATTCAAGAGATCAAAATGGTAATGAAGAAAAAAACCAAGTTAATCTTCCAGGTTAATGAATATTTTCTATGTGATCAGGCAAATTTTGCCTATTTATGCCTCTTATAAGTATCAATTTATGCTTGGTATTTAGACCTTGACTTTTTTCCCCAAAGTTTATTATTTACCTTCACTTTTATATTTATTATATTTGTTAATATCTCTGTTTAGAAAATCAAGGAAAGCTCTTTTTCCCCACTTATGTCACACCTATCTCCTCCTATACCACTGTAGTGAGGTATATTTTTTTTATTCTACTATGAATCCTTAGATTATAGCTATGAAAATCCTACATTTCATTACAAAACCAAAAAAATATTTAACTGTACTAATAACATTTTAATGATGTGCCCATCCATCTTAATAAAGTGATGACTTCATAAACATCTATCAGAAGCTCTTCTTTAAAATAGCTATAAAAACATGGGCCCTAAGTAAATGTGAAAATACTGTGTAGACTCAGGAAGATAGAATTTCATCAAATAAAACACAACATGGGCAGCTAGTATCGGACAAGCTGAAACATAACTTCCAACCCTATCTTCCTTCACTATCATGAACACCTCTAAGTCTTAGAAACGGAAATAAGGGGAGAAATGGGACAATGAGAAATATTTCAGCTAGGAAGAAAAGATCATACTTTTATAAAACTAGTCTCTTTGAACATAAACATCACTGGCGTTTGGGAGGTCGCTAAGCAATACTGTCCTTGTTTGTGTTTTAGAATGACACACTTGCCTTCTGTAAATACCATGGATTCATTGGGTTTTCTCAGGAACTTCATGGAAGGTTATTGTTCAGAATAAATCATTAGCCTAGAAGTACTTTGGAAAATCATGGCCAGTTACTTTTGAAAGCATAGAATGCAACATAGAATGCAACTCTGAGCCTCAACTTCCTTATCCATAAAATGGAGATAACCATAGCAGTGACCTCCTAGCATTACTTAAAGTGTCTGTAAAGTAAAACATAGTATCTGGTCCAGGGAACATATTCAATAAATGTTAGCTACAATATTTCATGCATTGTCTAACATGATATATAACTTAGGAATGTGTTAAGGTCCCTATTGAATTGTATCTTGAGGGTGTGACTGAGTCTTGCACAACTTTGTATCTTCTGGGATAGCCATGTTATACCTGGTAAGCACTAGTCAATACTCAGTGAATGTATTTCGAATAGAAATTTATATAAAACATGTGATTAATCATTTCAGTAGAAAGTAAATTACAGAAAATTCCCCCTTCTGATAAGGAAAATCAAAACAGAGTTTTAGACAATCAAAATATAAATGTCTGGAATATGGCTTGATTTGGGATTAAATGAAGTAGAAGAGTACTCCTGTGGGGATAGCCTTGGATAATGCCATTAGGTCACCTGAGCTCCAGCTGAAGTTTCATGGGAAAACTTTTTCAAGTTATACAACCTAATGATGTCTTTATAAAGGGATCTACATACATGCTTAACTATGGAGAATCTTACTCTTTTTATAGTAGGTGTGAATATTCCAATCATATAGATGGGAAAAATGAGATTGAGCAAGTTCAATGACATGACAGGACATAGAAAAGCCAACTCTTGCACCCAAGTCATTAGACTCCATGTATTTCTCCCCCCCCATCCTGTATATGTTCTGCCTACCTCATAAAGCTGTGCTGGGGAGTGAGATGAAGTAATAGGTATGAAAGTAGTTTGAGAAGTTCCCAATGTAAAACCAAAGCATCCTATTAACATTATTTGTAAAATGTAAGCTTACTGTATTACTTTCTAGTGGGCTTGATATGGTCTGTATTTATCCTTGCTATCCAACTTACACCACCCTTTCCTCTAAAACTCTTCCTCTCAGGGTGAGGATGTAGAGTGTGGGTGTGTACGAAGGGGGACAGAATGTTTTTTCTATTCCCAAACTTCAATCCATGAGAGAAATCAGCCTCAGCTTACAAGGAATAGTTATTGGGTTGAGTCTTACAGGCATTCTCTGTGAGACTCAATAATTCCATGTGTGCTGGTATTAACTATTCAACCAAAATAATCTGCCTCAAGAAATTCTGGAACTTAAGCCATTCTGCAGAGAATAATCATTGTCCTGCAGAACATTTCATATACTGGCAAAGTACCCATGGCCATTCTGTGAAATGAATGTATCAACAAAGTACAGCAATTATGAGCATAAAATTTTTAAAGTAGTCTTTTGAAAGTAAACTTAGAATTGGGCAATCTGTATATAAAGAGAGAATTTTTTTTAATGTTCTCATATGTTTCATTGGTTGTCTTATCCGATAATGTTATCTTTATTTATCATTCTGCTGAGCCTTAAATCTAATACTGCAAGGGGATGGATAGGGTACCTAAAACATATGTTATATCAATGATACTATTTGGACTTGCCTGGAGAGTTTTTCCAAATACCTGACCTAGCAGGGTGACAGTACCAAAGAAAGCTTTTTAAAATGGTTTCAACTAAAAACTAATTTATGATGAAATGTGAATTTTATACCACTTAAAATTTGAAAGAGACTAGAAGCAGATCTAGCATGCCTACAGGAAGAAAGAGGCAGATTTACAATATTATTGGTGGGATTTTGATTTATCTCTAGGGTCTTTAGAGTTAGACACTCCCAAAGGATATTGTCATTCCTGAAATCACCACTGGCTAGAGGCTAGATTAAGCAAGATGGCAGTTTAGTGGGAAGGACACTGGATGAAATATCAGGAGATTCAAATTCTCTCTGAGAGCTACCCCAGTGGAATGGTAAAGAGAAGGGATCTTCTCTTCTCAGATAAGGGGCATCTGAAGAAGCTGGAGTGCCAGGATTGAACTATTGGCTCCTTGGTTACTGGGGAACATGTATGATCTTATATTTAAAGCTATCTTCATGGGGCACCTGCGTGGCTCAGTCGTTAAGCATCTGCCTTCAGCTCAGGTCATGATCCCGGGATCCTGGGATCGAGCCCCACGTTGGGCTCCCTGCTCCGTGGGAAGCCTGCTTCTCCCTCTCCCACTCCCCCTGCTTGTGTTCCCTCTCTCGCTGTGTCCCTCTCTGTCAAATAAATAAAATCTTTAAAAAAAAAGCTATTTTCTTCATCCCAAATCATTATCTTGTGAAGCTTTATGTTTTAAATGCATTTTCATATATTATGTCACTTGAATAACTTATGAATTCTTTGAAGTGAATCAATGGATCAATGGAACTGAGTGTCTTACTCATTCCAAAATTATCAATGATATGTTAAGTAGCAACAACTAAACTGTGTGTAACTGCCTCTATCATCTAGTACAGCTCTAGGTACATAGTAGGTACTTGATAGTCACTTGTTGATTTTCTCATTTTAGACTACATTTTGTGTATTGTTTGTATATACTAACATTATGGCAGGCTTAGGAGGTAACAAAATTGTCCCTGTATTCAACTATTTGCTGGAGTTGCTAAGGCTGGCTGACAGAGATTTAGAGGTAGTAAAAACAATGCCTCCACAATCCGTCTCTACTGAGCTCTTAGCAGGGTTGTAGGATGACTCAATGAAAGGGGTTGGTCTAATTCATATTGGTTAAAGGGGAGTGTGCCCTGTGGTTTTCTTTACCACATGAGTGTGTTTCAAGGCTAACTGAGAAAGTAGATGCTAATGGCTTAGAGTGCTTTCTAAGGACTTTGTAACAAAATCTTCCAGCTGTGTTCCCTGGCATATGCACTATAAGATGGGTCTCTGTAACAATAGGGTTGCCTTTGGTGTCCATCTAGATTCCAAATAAAAAGAAAGACACCAAAATCTATCCCGAAAATGAAAGTGGAGCCCTGCTATTTTTAAAGGAAAATGGCATTTCCTTGTACAGAATCAAATCATTTACACAAATGCAGCATCTGGTGGAATTTGGGTAACATTTTGCATTTCTTGATGTTGTTCTACCTTGCCTTAGAATTGCTTCCTAAGATACAATTATTCCCATTCTAATTTTAGATATTGTGTTATTAAAATGCTTTGTTTTCCATTTAGTGCCATTGCAGCAAAATGACTCATGACAGCCCAGGAAGCATTGAAAACAATGTTTTAAGCAAATGACAGTTCATCTTAAATTTTACGCTATCAGTTAGAACTTCACCTTGTATTTCGCATTCGCAGAAAAGCTGGTCCTCCACCGGACAGTGTAAAGTCGCACTTCAGATGTTTTTTGGTTCTTAGGGACAGAGTTGTCTGCCCAGCTGACCCTCACGGCATCGTGGGTAAGAGCCACAGCCTGTACACCTACTGGTGGGAGCATGGGGGTGGAGACATCTGGGACCGAGGTGGGGAAATCATCAAGCAAAGGATAATAATCAATGGGGTCAGTGGGATCTGGGTTTAAAAACCCGCCAAATGAAACAAACAAATAAATACATAAATAAAAGAGTTAAAAAAATAAATATCAGTGGTAACACGTCACAATGAGTTAAATGCATGGCAATAATGATGAAAGGGAACATGAGAAGAACAGAAAAAAATACAATTAATTCAATCGGAAAACTCATTAGAAACAGTATTGCTCTATTACAAAAATTCTATTTTCTGTAACTCACTCATTTCCCTATAGTGGTTTTATCAGCTCCACTTTTGGCGGTCGCTTCTAGCTATATATTTTAAAAGTCCATTTCGTCTTGGCGTTTTGCACATTGCTTCTTAAAAGGTCTAGTATAGAACTTGTCAGTTTTATAACTATACAGATAACTTAAAATAACAAGATCAAAAGGAGTGTCTGGTTTATTTCCTCCTGTTAAGGAAATAAATGCCTATCCAATATCTGTTTTTAAGTTTGTTTATTTTTCTCCTTTTCTAACTTGATTCGGTTTCTCTAATGCTTTCATTATTGCTTAGCTTATATCTGCATAAATATTGTTTAGGCAAGAAACAAGTAATAAAGCCCAAAGGGCTCTGAGGTCTACAGCAATCCATCTATGGCTATGATTGCATAAAGCCAGACTGACCAGGTCCATGGCCCGTGTGCCCCAGTGATATGTTTGATAACTAGGTTTCTTCTAGCACTTGGCGTGGCAGGTTTTCTTAGACTGAAATCATTAAAGAAAGTATGGATGTATCTGTTTTACCCACTTTCCCACAGAGTAATTAACTAAGGCTCTTAAGGCATACCTATATTCCATATTACTTGTTCCAAAGTGTCAAGTTCCATGGGAAAACTTTATGTTATTGGCTGGGGAGACAGAACAAACTGAGGTACACACAGACTTTGATCCTGATTAACATAATCAGAACCTGCATGATGACATGTGTGGTTTTAGAAAATTCTCTAGAAAAATTTTGTACTCATTTTTATGCTGCGAATATCCCAGTCAGAAGAGTTTGTCTTGTGGCCATAGTAAGAGTCCAATTTTAAGCCTTTTATAAAAGCCTAAGACTTTTCAGTTTTTGAAAATTTACCTTTAAATCATGTAATATGTATTCTCACTAACAAAAAAAAAAAAAAAAAAGAAGAAGAAAGCCCTCAGGCTGGGCATCTGAGGACGTTTCGGGAGCTCTCCTGCTAAAATGTAGAGTATCTGAAGCAGTGTGCATACAGAGTTTATATTTTTAAATAGCCTAGTTCCAAGCAAGTATTGGCTGGTTTTGACGATTACTTCACTTTGTCCACTGTATTTCAAATGCCTACCCTCTACTCATCGCTCTGTTTCCAATGAATTATTTAGTAGTTTACTGGGCTGTGGTCTTTGGAGCAAAATATAAAACCTGAAAACAAAAACAGAACAAAAGGAAAGAAAAAAAAGAGAAAGAGAGAAAAAGAAAAATGTGTGTTTAAAATTTAATGACAGAGCCCAGGCTTTCCGTATTTCCTTTGATTGTGTCTTTTTATTAAGGGCTCCTTTAAACCCAAATGGATTTATGGAATGATGAAGGGGGAGCTGAAGAGCTTCTAGGAGGATCCTGATCAGTCATCAGGTCGGTGTATCGGTGGCAGGTGTTTTGGCCAAACTGTAACAGGTGCTGCCTCCCTTGTTTCTAAGCCAACTTTCCAAGAAGAATGTTATACACAACAGGAAGACTATTCTGAATTACAAACTTTTTTTGACCAACCTACATAATGTGTTTTACCATATATGTTGTTTCTTTGCTTAACCTGGTTTTTAAACCGATATGAATGTAATAATCTGCTACAGGTGCCATAGGTAAGGTTTTGAAGAATAGTGATTCTACTTCAAGAAATGCTAACACCCACTCTGGCTCTTTCTGGATTTTACAACAGTGTATTTTTCATGACTTGTGGAATTTCTTGGAGTCTCAGTTCCAGAATGTGTCCCTCAAATTTCAAGTAATGTTGGTATTTATCTATGGACTTACATAACTTATGAATTTCTATCCCTGGCCAAGTTTTTCTTGGCTTTTTTTTAGAGAATTTGTTTTCAGGCATGGCTTGTCATTCTACTTGCCATCTCCTTTAGATCTGTACTAATACAAGAGCCACTAATTACATGGACAATTTAAATTTAAATTATTAAAATTAAATACAACTTAAAAATCACTTCTTCTGTTGCACTAGCCAATTTTAAGTATCCCATGGCCATATACGCCAACCTATCATCTTGAATAGTATAGATATAGAGCTTTTCCAACAAAGCAGAATGTTCTAGTGGATAGTGAGCACTATTCTAAATACATGTATGCTCCATACACTGCTAATTATCTTTCTCTCAGCACAGTTAAATTAAAAGCACTTTTTTGGTTAAAAAACACCATTTTTTGTTGCTAAATAACTTTTTTCCAGTTCTTAGGTGCCTTATATGCTGTTGATTTGCAGTGGTTATATCCAAGAGTAAAAACTAAATAAAAATTAAAAAGAAAAAACATAGCCTCAAACTTTTTGCTAAAAAGAGAAACCTATTCAATTCCTAATAAATATTTTGGTAAGAGTTCATGAATTTTCAGTTCACATACTAAAGCTCAAAACAAGCTTTTAAAAAAATAACAATTTTACATCTGGATTATACTTCATTCGGACATTGATAAAACAGTTGAGAATAAACAAATTCAAACAACACACCTCCTTATTCCCCTGCCCTCTTCCCTTCTCCAGGCTCAGAATGTCTTGTTCTTGCAACATTAAGAACTAAAAAGCTCTACTGCACAAATAAAACTCTTAACACACCCATTTGACCTGGCGAAACTTTCCTCAGCTCTAATAGTAATATGCTCAGGATGAGAAGAGGCTTCAGAGAAGAGGCTCCACCTAAGAGCAGGTGTTGTGGAAATCATCACGGCCTGATAATCCAGTCTGATGCATTTATTGCCTCTGATTTTTTATTTACTTTATGCTGGCCTCTTCCAAGTCTGCTCATGGGAATACTTGTAGAGCTCCGAGACAGAGAATGCCTTCTCTGTGGCACTATGACACATTTATTGATAGAATTTCTCCCAGAACCTTAACCTCTGATTCCGTTTATTTGTCCTTTGTTCTCCATGATGTGTGGAAACACAATAAAATAAGTCTGCCACATCCAAGAAAGGACTGGTTTTACTCATTCCTCTTCAAACCCCTACTGACTTTACTTCAATAAGAAAATGCCTCACATAATTTCCAACTTTTGGTATCCATTCATTCCTCCAGATCCATTAGAATTAGAGTCTTATCAGAGAATAATAGTCTTATGGATTACTGGTGTTTTAGAAACCACTCTGGGAATGCCATATGCCAAGGATTAAAGAATGACAACAAATGTGAAGGCAGAAGTTAATGTCCCAAATCGTTCTTTGTGAGCAGCTTATCTTTGGTTTATGTAAACTCTATTTTTACTACTACTGCTTTCTGCTCAAAATTGATTTTTTTTTGGTCACCTGAGTGTCTCTTCTTTGTGGGGTTTAGTTTTGGTAAGAAAGTGTTGTTTAAAAAGACTAGCCATAGTATAATTTGTGTTGCCTGACCACAAGCTCAAGATCACATTGGTGAGTAGGTGCTCAACATCTTTTACCATTGACAGGAAAGAGATAGCTTACTAAATACAAATTATGGAAAGAACAAGTAGAGCTAAAGTGACCTGGTATCTCCCAAAGAACACTGTTACTGGCAAACAAGAGAATAAGGGGAAGCGAACATTCTAGATACCCTTCATCATGTTATCTCATGGTTTCCTATTCTGAACCTCCATACACCTCATCTTATTTAGAGATAATACATTTGACAGTAGACATTCTCTCAGGTAAAACTTCTTATTTGCCTATTTGCCCTTTTGGGGAGACATGTGCCCTTTTGATTACACAATGAGAGAGCCATACTGTCCCCACAAATAAAGAAATACATTGACACATACCCAAAATTTTGCATACCACTTTAGGCTGATCATAGACCTTGAAAACAGGAGCCAAAGATTCAAGCAAACTCTGGAACAACAACTTTGCCTTACAAGAAAATCTGGTTGAACTTAATGAAGTGATGGTATATTTGGAAACCATCATGTAACAACTCTGAATTCACTTTAAAACTGTGTATTTTCAAGAGAGCCTATGAATGGAGCTTGTGGGTTTGAAAAACAAACTGTACAAAGTTTACATAAACTTAGGTGGTAGCAGAAGTCACAGATCCCACTATTTATTCCAAGGTGATTTATTCCTCCTTGTCAGGACTTCATACTCAGGCACCCAGTAGTTTTCCATGTTCTCTAGTGTTCGCTATGAAATCCTGCTCTCAGATCCTTTATTCTCATTAAGGTGAAAGTAACTGATGACTTAAATGAGGTCTGAGGCTTGTGGATTTTGAAAGGGGGCAGGATCAAATAACTCACTAAAAAGATGGACCTCTTGGGTTTTACTTCCAGATTTCAGACATAAAGCTATTGGGGATGGTTGTGTGACTTTCCAGTGACTCTGAACAGCCCCCCAGGGGTGGTATTTATTCTATTTTTGAGTAAGCTCAGCCTTGCTCACAAATAGTCTCTGTAAATTTCCTGCATCTCACTCTCTTATCCATTCCGTTCTGAGTTCCTTCTGCTCTTTGTGTGTGTGTGTGTGTTCTGCCTTCACAGTCCAACTCACATAAGAATTCCTAGAGGTGTGAAACCCTGGAAGCAGCCAGATCTTTAAATATCATAAGGCTCTGGGCACTGTTGGGGTGACCTATCGGCCTGGCTCAGGAAAAGGTCACCTGTCTGACTCAGCCTAGTCCAAACCAGTCCGAGGAGGTCAGTCCTTCCTTGTCACATTAGTTTGAAGGATCCTCTGTAGAGAAGCAAGTGGCCATTTGGGCATCTGGTGGCTTTTGCACAGAAACTTTCCTGCCTCAGTTGCACTGATTTGCAAGATGAAACAAGATGCACACGAGAATGAAGAGTGGTATTGAGCCACCAAAATATGAGCTACTGAGAGAAGCAGAAAAGGAGAGATCTATATTCTCTAAGTCCACATACTAATTTATAGACTGACTTCCTCTCACTTAATTTTGTAAACCAAGAAGATAATGAACTATGTGTGTGTATATGTACATACACGTATACACAAATATGCATGCATACATATACACTCAAGGCTCAGAACATGATTACATACATTTTGTTTGTTTTTTTCCTTTGTATTTTGCTTTAGGTTTTTTTTCCCCCCCACCACAACTTAAACACTGGCTACCTTGTCATAAGAGGATGAACTATTTCAGCTTACCTGTTAGAGATCTGGTGGTGGCACTTTCATAAAGTGGAACTCCTTCTCCTGCATTGTTAAAAGCTTTTAGGGAGATTACATAATGGGAACTTGACTCTGGAGAAAAAACAGAAAGAAAATAAACATGATGATTTACTTAGTGTATTGAAATATCCAGGGTAAACATTTTCCTGCAATAAAATTTAATATAATCTACTAAGTAAGTTGTTGTATAAAAATGAGTGAGTGTGATTCTGGGAAGCAGGTGGCAGGGGTGACAATACAGTTTTTAATCTTCCTGAATCTTCCCATAATAAGAGACTGATTGACTAGATAGACAACCACAAGCACTTGGACAATTCCAAGGAAAGTAGGCAATGAGCTATACTCTCAAACCCCGAAATATAATTGCCATGTGGACAAACCACCAACAACCTTAGGACTTGCATGTTATCAGCATCTGTGTAGGAGAAATCAGAGAGAGGCATCCAACTTCAAAACAGAAATAGTTCTAAAATACCTATCAGCTAATGCTAGAAAATGCAGCAGGCCAATCTGTGGACAGTAAATCTAAGTACACAAAACTAGCCTACAAAATCTCCTCTCCAGGACAGGACTTACGCCGGGGACAAACTGCTGGCAACAGAGTTGAAATTTGAGCAGACAGAACCAACAGAAATGAAGGGAAGAGAAGGTCCAGATAAAAGTAGAAGAGAGCAAAGTCATGAAAACTTGGAAAGCAAGCTGCCGTACAGTTTTTAGTGTGTGTCAGGGTTTGGCCAACTTTTCTTGTAAAGGGCCCAGATGGTAAATATTTAGCTCTGCAGCCTACATTATCTGTGTCATGTATTCACCTGCATTTGTTTGTTTGTTTACAGCTCTTCAAAAATGCAAAAACCATTCTTAGTTCAGTGGGGTTCAAACAAAAATAGGACCTGAACCGATGTGACCTGCAGGCTACAGTTTGCTGAACCCTCGGCTCTGGTCTAATGAAAACAACGGGAGAGGGAGCTCTGTATATTTAGAAAAGCTATTTGAACATCTGGGAACGTAGAGGAACAGGTCATGTGAAAGAAAGTAAGCATCAAAAATCTGTTGAGGTTAAATACCTTACAAAATAAACTGAGGCGTATATCATTCCTATAGACAAGCACACCCCCAAAAAGAGATTGAAAATACGCAAGGATAGTAGATCAAACCTTTGAAATTTACTATTTCAAAATGAGCTAAACAACATTAAGACAATTAAATGCCAGATATGCAAGAGTAATGTAAATTGAAATTAGGAAAAAAACTCAGAAATGAGGTGGTATAACTCAAGAAAGACTAAGTAAAAAAAATATTTTTAAAAATAAAGAGTAACTAGATGAACAAACAAGCACAAGAAAAAACAAAACAAAAAGAAATTAAGAGAGAGTAAAAGAGAATTCAGGAGAGTGATGAATAGAAGAGAAGGAAGGTCTAACAGACGAGTAATAGTTGTCCTTGAGGAGGAAAACCAAAGAAAGGGAACAGAACAAATACTAAAAAGTGTAATTCAAGAAATTTTTGCTGAGTTAAAAAAAATCTTTTAGGCATCTGGACAGAAAGAATACATGACTTGAAAGGGGGAAACTTATTTGTTTCAGAGGAACAGGTCTGTGATTCAACAGTCTTACACAATTCATAGCGCTCGCTAAAGCACATACCCTCCCCAATGTCTATCAACAAATAATACATTATATGTTAAAAAAAAAAAGATAGTGGGCACCTGGGTGGCTCAGTTGGTTAAGCGACTGCCTTAGGCTCAGGTCAGGATCTTGGAGTCCTGGGATCGAGTCCCACATCGGGCTCTCTGCTCAGCAGGGAGTCTGCTTCTCCCTCTGACCCTCTTCCCTCTTGTGCTCTCTATCTCTCATTCTCTTTCTCAAATAAATAAATAGAATCTTTAAAAAAAAGATAGTAGGAAGGGAAAAATGAAGGGGGGGAATTGGAGGGGGAGATGAACCAGGAGAGACTATTGGCTCTGAGAACCAAACTGAGGGTTCTAGAGGGGAGGAGAGTGGGGGAATGGGTTAGCCTGGTGATGGGTATTAAAGAGGGCACGTACTGCATGGAGCACTGGGTGTTATATGCAAACAATGAATCATGGAACACTACATCAAAAACTAATGATGTAATGTATGGTGATTAACATAATAAAAAAAAGAACAATTATAGGCTGAAAGAAAATATTTGCTACACCCACAAAAGTGGTTAATCTTGTTAAGATACAAGGAGTTCTTGGGCGCCTGGGTGGCTCAGTTGGTTAAGCGACTGCCTTCGGCTCAGGTCAGGATCCTGGAGTCCTGGGATCGAGTCCCACATCGGGCTCCCTGCTCAGCAGGGAGTCTGCTTCTCCCTCTGACCCTCTTCCCTCTCGTGCTCTCTATCTCTCATTCTCTCTCTCTCAAATAAATAAATAAAATCTTTAAAAAAAAAGATACAAGGAGTTTTTCAAATTAGTAAGAACATTGCATATAGCCCAAGGAGAATTGATATTCAGGGAAATGAAAACAAAAGCAACAATAAAATAAAAATTTGGCCCTTCAGATTGGCAAAAATGTAAGATCATGTTAATGCCCAGTGTTCGTGAGATTACAAGGAAAACAATACTTTCATATACCATTTCTCAAGAGCAGTGATGAGTCTGGAAATTTCTGTAAATTTTGGAAAATAAATCTGGGTATATAACTAAAAAAAAAGAAAGGGGGAAACTTAAATTATGATCAAACTTTTGGACAGCCACATTTTATGCCAGAAGGAACTGAAGTAATTTATTTGAAATACCTAAGGTAAGAAAATGTGATTCAAGGATTCTATAGTTAACAAAAGTTAGCTTAACTATAAAGAGCACACCTAAGCTGTTATCAACATATAAGTAACCAGGGAGTATTACTCCCATGATCCTGAGAACTACTGAACTACTGAGCAATGAGCTCCTAAATGACCAGGGTAGATACCCCAGTGGTGAAATGATGAACAACAAATGTTAGGAACTAAGACTAAGTGAGAGTTAAAAGGGGGAGCTTTTATTTTGTAATGGCTACATGTTCTGATATTGTAGCTATCCTATAGTCATAAGTCAAAAATAAGGGAGACTAGGGGTAGTGTATGCACAAATCAATGTTTCAATAATTATTGATGGTGATAATATTATTATTGTTATTCTGCAACTAATGTAATACAGGATAAAGCAAATGAATAATCATGAGAAATTATAATTCTATCATCTCCTGTGTCCTTGAGAACCAGAAGATTAGTGTGGATGAAAGGACATATTGATGTAAAATAGAAGAGGTATGTAAAGTCCTACATTCCTAAAATTTAATCAGAAAATCAGTTTCAACTCAAAAGGCATTTTATGTCTGTCCTAGTTCTATCCACTGAAGAAGTCTAGAGACATTGTCAATAACAAATACCCCTAATGCCCAGATAGGGATTTTGAAAAAAAAATTTTTTTTGCACTGCAAGAAACAAGGGGTTCTTGTAAAACTGGTTGATTCCTGGCCTGAGATAGGACACCTGTCAATTGAGCTTGAAATATCTTGACGTAACCAGACAGAAAGGAAACAACCAAAGACTAATAGGCTCACATCAAATGGATTCAGGAATCAAATCAAAGAGGCTCCCACAGACCAAGGATGAAGACAATCTGATATTCAATAAAGGTGAGAGTTGCAATGAATTGAAACCCAACAAATATACATGAATGTATGAATTCATAAAGGTATTTTTAAAAAAATAATAAAAGTTGGTCACTTCTGAGGTTGACAGAGAACCAAATTATTATCTTGAAAACCAGCTAAAGAATCAAACCTTTATTATGTTTTTCTTAAATAAACTCTATGATTATGTAACCACACAGCATGTGAAGGGGAAGCATACACTTATAATATATTCCAACTAACAAGTGAAAACTCAGTGATAGAATTCAAATATTACTATTTTGCAGCCCCAATGAACAAATGGATCTGGGCATTAAGCATTCATGATTGCTAAGATAAAATAGAGAAACCTAGGCATAATGTATCTTCTAAAGAAAGAACACACTCCTAGAGTCTTCCCAAAGGATGGAACCTACTTAGTCTGATTAAACCTCTAGATCCAAGTGCCATTTTGCAGGAAATAGAGCAAAGAAACAGTTCAAGTCCAACTTACGACAATTCATTAAGCTATATATTTGTTGCTTGTAGTTTTCTGTATCTGTCTTTTACTTTACAATTTAAAAAAGTTTTAAAAATGAGTGGATTTATCTCTGACAGTGAGTGCTCTTTGAAAATTGATTAGATGGCTTTTTCTTCATGAGATTTTATGTGACCTAAATATTAGCATTCGAGATATTGACATTCCAAACCACAATGACAGGAGAGCCACAATATAGCAAGAGGAATAAAATAAAATTATGTTTAATGTAGTCAAAGGGCTTCTATTAAGTGAATTGCTTCCCCTACAAGAGGGGATATTTATTTATTAATTTTTGCTATCAACCTAGTTTACTAATAAGAAAGTAATCAGTCAACAAATGTTAAATGCTCTTGGAGCATATGTTCAAGATGGACCTCTATTGTCAGGTTACAATCATAATTCTGGGCAGAGAAAACAATGGAGAAGGACATAAAATTACGTAGTACAGTGTGTGATACAACTTGCGAATGCTATGTGAGTTTAGAGGTCTGGAAAATTAGTGAGGGATTGAGTCATCTAAGACTTCTTGGCAGATATGGACTTGGTACCAGGGCTTGAAGGTATGGGTAGGATTTAGAGATAGAAGGATGATAGGAAGTAGAAAACAATCTCAGGAAAAAGGTATATGTCAAAAATACAGTTAGATGTGTCAGCAAAAATACTTCCCTACTAGGAAACATCCTTTATAGCTATTGGAGTGGAGACAAAGCCTGATTTCAAACATATGATTTATCTATACAACTACAATGTAAACATTTGCATTAGAGTCAGGCTCCATAAAATTGCCTTTCTGTGGGTCAAATTGCATTTGGTTTCACATAATATACATATAGCATATATTTGCATTTATCTATGTATTTGTTTATCGAGGGAGTGAGAGAGAGGTCAGCAATTCCAAAACTCCTGTGCTT